AAAAGGCCAAGAACCAAGAACCAAGAACAAAGGATTAAGAAAGCTTTATACATTTTCACTAAAGGAGAAGGTGGGAGAAGGTGAAATAATAAGAACTATCATCTAATAAACATTTTAGTAATAATTCTACAATTTGTTCTATTGGTCTCTAGCTGTCCTTATTCCTAAGCCTTGGCTAATGAATGCCCCAGGAGTTATCTAATACACATTTCATTTGCTGCCGGCTATCTCTATTCCTAACTTTTAGCTGAAGTCTGCAAGTTGACTAACTCCTTACTTTTTATCAGCTTTCTAACTATCCATAATTGCTACCAGAAAATATAGGCCAGTGTTTCTCAACCTTGGCATTCACTGGCTGGGGAATTCTGGGAGTTGAAGTCCAGACATCTTCAAGTTGCCAAGGTTGAGAAACACTGATATAGGCAGATCAATGCGCAAACTGGAAGTCCGTTCCCAAACTTCCGGTTTGCGCTTTGGGCGGTTTTTTTGCCCTCTGGAGGCTATAGGCAGGTTCCCTGAAGCTTCTGGAAGGCAAAAAACAGCAGAAAATCATGGCCGAAATCAGCTGGAGCTGACAGGGCAACGCCTCGCATGCCCTCAGAAATGGCTACCTGTGCCACCTGTGCTACGCGTGCCACAAGGTTCGCCATCACGGTCCTAATTCATTGAACTATAAGGAGGTTCAATGCAGACATACAAAATTCTGCTATCATGGCCAACCTCATTAAAAGTAATTTAGTCTTCCTGTGGAGTGGTTTCCTGGTCTAGTATTACCTCCTCCAGGCTTACCCCCTTCCCACCTTTTTTCTAATCATGACGCAGAGGGGAGCACTGCCTATATTTTCCAATTACACTGACAAAACACCCTTAGATGTATCGTTATTAATTTATTTAGCGTGTGGCATGGATGTAACATTAGGGGAGATCTTGCATTTGTTGGTATGGAACTGGAAAGAATTGCAGAAGCCATGATTTTCCTACCTATTCTTTCCAACCGAACATAGTGCAGGGAACAAATGATATAAAATGGTCAGAAATTATTGCCTTGCGTTCACCAGCACAACCACCTTCTGAAAACTGAACAGAGTGGGACCAAATTTGGTATGAAGCTGGCTAAAGAAAGTTTAGATTTTTAACGATCAGACTGAATTGAGGGAGTCAAGAAAGAATCCAGGAAAACAGAATTCAATGAATCGCAATGGAAGAGGGACACTTTTGTTCTAAGTCTCCCCCCTTCCCAGGCATGTGAATTAGCCTGGATGAAGTATTAAGATGTGGAGACTCTAGAAAAAGTGCAGAGAAGAGCAACAAAGATGATTAGGGTACTGGAGACTAAAACATATGAAGAACGGTTGCAGGAACTGGGTATGTCTAGTTTAATGGAAAGAAGGACTAGGGGAGAGATGATAACAGTGTTCCAATATCTCAGGGGTTGCCACAAAGAAGAGAGAGTCAAGCTATTCTCCAGGGCACCTGAGTGATATTGCAAAGAATCCTCAGAGCCATTTTCTTCACACTTTCTTCAACTTGTTCACACTAAGGTCAAACTAAATGTACACCAACATAACATCTTTTGTTGACAGCTGCCAGTTGTGTAGACAGGGGAATACCACTCTATGTAGCGTTTAAAAAACTATAATCATGCATCTATTTTCGGAAAAGGGGCTTCTTTGAACTGAAGAAAATTTGAATAGATGTTCTGCAGTGTACACAGAATAGGCAAAGGAGAAAACCTTGTAAATATATACAGAGGATTAATTTTTCCCATTCAGATGAATTCCAGAAGTAAGGGTCATGTTAGCTAGAAATTCTGAAGCTTGGAAGTCCCAACTTGATTGGGAAAGAGTGATATACATTTCTGGGAAAAGTAGAACGGAGGCTGCAGGAAAGAGGCATCACTAATTACCTGTAGATGTGCATTTTTAATAAAGTTTGAGTCTTCTGCTTTCTGTTTTAGGAAATTTGATAACATTTATATTGGCTGGGGTCACAAATACAGTCCAGAAAACTTCATCCCTTCATTGCCACCTCCAGTGCAGACCGAATATATTATTGGACCTGAAGTCAGTGAGGGACTTGATCCAACTGTGGAAGAAGAGCTGGCACTCAAGGTTGCACAGGAAGAGGCACTGGAAGCAGAAGAAATGGAGGAAGAGGAAGAGGAAGACGAGGATGAGGATGATTAAGCTCCAAAATACTGTTATAATAGTTTTTGTTAAGGATAAACTTTTCTAAAAATGTATTCTGATAAACACTGTATTGTATAATACATTGGTTATTTGTAGTACTTTTGATGAGTAAATCAAAAATAAAACACTAATAGCATTTTTTAAAAAGCAGTTTGGAATAGCAATAAATCTCAATTTTGAATTAAATTTGTTTCCAGCAGTTTTACTATATCACCAAAACAAAAAAGAGTAATGTTTAATAGCTTATTAATTACTTTATTTCAATAAGGAAACAATTTCTTAAATATGGAACTGGTGGCAATCTTAAATAACTCACAAACCTTGTTTAAAACAAGATGCAATCAATACAACAAAACGGCGATACTGTATGTTCATAAGCCAGTTTTTCACAAAGATGAGATATCAATATCAGAGCTGCTTAGGCAAGAAGCAAAACGTCCTCAAAGAGAAAGTCCAGATGCCTCTTGAAAAAGCACCTTTGGGACAATATAGTCCATATTATTCCAAAGAAAACATATTTTACACAAACCTTGCCTTATTTTCCAAGCTCGTCATCTTGAACATATAAATCTTTGCCATTCCTTTCTTTCTTCCAAACACAATTCACAATCAAGTTAAATGTTTTGACTATCTTACAAGGTTACTTCTGATTACCCATCTAATTACAGCATTTCAGTCTGACCTGTTATGCTGATGTAACTGATTTGGCCTTCTGGTTCTCTGCATCACGCAATCCCAAACCATGCTAAATCAAACCATGATGCTTTACACTGACCGTGGCTAAGCATGATCAATTGGAACACTTGGAATACTGCATCCAGTTTTGGTTGCCACGATGTAGAAAAGATGTGGAGAGACTAGAAAGAGTGCAAAGAAGAGCAACAAAGATGGTTAGGGGACTGGAGGTTAAAATATACGAAGAATGGTTGCAGGAACTGGGTATGTCGTGTTTAATAATGTAGGAAGTTATCACCCAGCCCTCTCCCAGAAAAATGAAATATCCTAGGAAATATTGAAAAGACAGAATATTTCTCTGGATGTGAAAAGGAAGAAACATGTTTTAAAAGACAGAATAGTTCTCTGCAGCTTCCTGCCTATTCCCCTTTGTCAATGAGCCATTAAAGAAGAAGAATAGAAAGAAGGACTAGGGGAAACATGATAGCAGTGTTCCAATATCTCAGGGCTTGTCACAAAGAAGAGGGAGTCAAACTATTTTCCAAGGCACCTGAGATTAGACGAAGAAGCAATGGATGGAAACTAATCAATGAGAGAAGCAACTTAGAACTAAGGAGAAATTTCCTGACAGTTAGAAGAATTAATCAGTGGAACAGTTTCCCTCCAGAAGTTGTGAATGCCCCAACACTGGAAGTCTTTAAGAAGATTTTGGATAACTATTTTTCTGAAACGGTATAGGATTTCCTGCCTAGGCAGGGGGTTGGACTATAAGACCTCCAAGGACCCTTCCAACTTTATTCTATTCTATTTTCTATTCTCTATGCTCTATGCTCTATTCTATTAATTAACAAAGGCATTTTTTGTAAATTGGCAGCTGACAAAAGGAGTGGAGACGCTATCTGAACCATCCCCCAAACTGGAGCATCATTAAGACTGAAAGATAACGAGCTGGAGTCCCAGGGATTTCCTGGCACTTCCTTGTTGCTTTCTGGTCAACGCGACAAAAGCGGCTCCCGCGCTGAAAACCATCAAAAGGGCTCCCGTTTTGCAGGGTTTAAACCCAAGTACTCCTTCAACCAATCAGCATCCGCCTTCCCGTTTCTTCGTCCTTCTAAGGCCCGCCTTTTTAACTCTATCCCTACCGCCGCTTTTTTTATTTTTTAAAAAAAGGCAAATAATGCGAAATAGAAATGCATATATCATCACTCATTTTTCACACTTTTACTCACAGGAATAAAAGCGACCGGAATCCGTGAATCATGGATTTCTCATCTAATAAGGATGAATTACATCCCTTTTCTTCCTTACCACCCCTCAAGAGCTTGGATGCATTCGCCCTTTGCGACACGGACCCTCTATGGAATAATGGTTCAGTCCGCCTTGGGAGGAAATGAGTCTTGCCTCGCCAACCGACCAATCGGAAGAGCCCGAGGACAAAATTCAAATACTGAAGCACAATTTAAAAAGATACGTCCTAAGAAGCCAGGCGAGATGATGGAAGAAGGCGGCGTTACCGTTTGTGTGCGAGTGCGGCCACTTATTGCCAGGTGGTTTTATTTTTGTTACTATGTTTAGATATGTGTTTAGATAACCAATTTCGTTGTATTTAAGTACAATGACAATAAAGATTATACTTATATGGGTTGCCGCTGGTTGCCTTTTTATATTTGCTATTTCGGGGTCTTTGATCGTCAGTTTTGTAGCCCCGGTTTTCCTCCAATTCAATGTAGCATTTGTAGGATTCTCCTTTCCGATTTTCCCTTTTAATATGGAACTTATGAAAGTAAGTTAAACGGAGAGGCAGAGGAGGAAGGAACGGACTTTATCAAATATATACAGGGAGGGGATAAAATGTTGGGGGGGGGGCAGCATCTCCCTTCCAGAGGTCAGTATGGTGAAATATTTAATATTAACTATGGTCTGGATGGTTTGAATTCAGGTGTGACCTATCTGTTCCATCTAGTTTTCCTGGAAATGCTTCTCTGTTTGAAATGCACCCATTATGGAGAAAATATATCTAGTTATTAAGAATCAGCACAGACTTGAATTGCCCCTAATCAATCTAAAGTGCACCAGAAGACTCCTAATTATTCCCATTTATAATTGGGTAAAACTGTGCACATTTCCTCACGTTAATTTACATCCCAACTAAAGAGTGTAGTGTGTATTTTCCAGAAGCGTTGATGTCAGAAATTACAAACTTTGTACCTGGGTGAGATCCACCAACTTTTAAAGCTCATTAAGGGGCATATCAAGTTTTAGGGGAAATGTTTCTCTTTATTCCTGAAGTCATAAACTGACTTGAAAACCTGGAATTGTTTTTTAAGGGAAAAGGAAGACCTGGATGAAAAAGGCCAAGTTTCATGGAAAAGTGAAGACTGCACAGTATCACAAACAGATGGAACCAGGTCATTTGCCTTTGGTAAGCCCTTGATAACTCCTGAAATGAGTATTTGTGTGGATTTCAGCATGAGTCTATGTAAAGTAATAGGAGAATTTACAAATGGAATGTCTTTATTAATTAAAAAAGCCATATTAAATGTAGTAACTCATCCTCTTCATCTTTGTTCATTTTCTATGTGTGTAGCCAGGGGTGGGCTTCAAAAAGTTTAGCAAGGGCTTTTCTTTCTCGCTGATGCCATTTTGGGCTGCTGCTTGCGGAGGCCTGCTGGAAACAGGACTTCTAAGGCAACACATGATGGGCAGATTGTGGTGCGAGGCCACTTTTGCTGGCTACAAACAAGGCCTCTGAAACCAGAGAGAGCACACTGCCCTGCTGAAAGTGGAAGGCAACTATTCCCGCAAGGAGACTGAATTTGACTTGGGGGAAAAATGTGCCTACGTCTACAAGGCCAAAAACAACACGGTGACTCCCAGGGGGGGGAAACCCAATCAGACCAGAGTCATTTGGGGGAAGGTGACCTGTGCCCACAGAAACAGCGACATAGTGCAAGCCAAATCCCACTCCAACTTGCAAAAGCCGTTGGACACTGTATCGGAGTGATGCTGCATCCATCCAGAGTCTAAATGTACGCGACAAATAAAATTGAAAGTATATTTAAAAAAGAAAAAGTTTAGCAAGGGGTTCTCTGCCCAGTTGCTGGGTGGGCGTGGCCTAGTCGGCTTCCTGCACCACAACTTTTGGAGACTTTCCTTGAGCCTCCAGGAAGGCACAAACAGTCTCCCCAGGCTCTGAAGGTAGGAAATGGGCCCGTTTCTAGCCTTCCCGAACTTCCGGTAGGCCCTTTTTTTTACCCTCCCCAAGCATCCATGCGCGCCCTGCACTTACCTGCATTCAAAATGGGCACCTAGGGACCGACTCCTGGGTGGGGTGGGCGGGGCCAGCCAGAAGTGGGATTTGGGGGTTCTCCGTACTGCACATAATCTTAGCTAGAGGTTCTCCCGAACCCCTAGCAGCCCACCCCTGTGTTGCAAACTGATTATTATTATTTTTTTGTAGGAGAAGCATTGAATATAATTCATTGTTTCAGTAATCTGTAACCCAATCTGTTTCTCTAGTGGCTAAAGGTGGCATATATGGTGGGAAGATGCCACTCTTCTTTCTGTGCTCAGAACAATGACTCTTGTAAATGTATGGATGAATAATAATACTTCGACTTGTTAAGTTGTGTTGCATGCACTGCTATATCTTCTGCTGCTATTGTTCATGCTACGTTCGATAATTAACTTTCATTTTTACCTCCAAGAAGTAACTGGTTTTTTGGGGGGATCTATTAGCCCTAAAAACCAGGAGACTATAAATCCTAGATTTGATTTTGGCACAAAGGTTGTTTGGGTGTCATTGGCCTTTCTTAGCCCAATCCATCTCACAGTGTTGTCATTGTGGAGAAAAGAATGGTAGATAAGATAGGATCAGTAGTTTGCCTACTGATGGCGAGACAAAAAGCTAATTAATAAAAAAGATGAGTTATTTTCCTTCTTGATGCTTAAACATCAGAAGAGCCCTTCTTGGAAAATGGTAGATTTTTACAGAGACCATCATTTTGGTCAGAGGTCTTCAAACTTGGAAACTTTAAGACTTGTGAACTTCATTTCCCAGAATTCTCAGTTGAAGTTCACAAATCTTAAAGTTGCCACGTTTGGGGACCCCTGATTTTGGTGATACATATATTACTTTTCTCCTTGCTGGGCAACCTAGTTGTCTCTTGAGTTTTGCCAGTTAACATCATAACTTGCTATGATCATTGTTCTGTTCTCTTTTCAGCAAATTTTTAAACTTACAAATGAGATTTTCCTATTTGTTCTTTAGGTTTTTATCTCTTTTGGATTTTCTGTTCTGAAACTAATTTCATTTTTCAGTAGTTCCTTTTCTGGAAATTTTCAGATCATTTTTGTTGTTCTGTCTCTGGTGAATTTTCTTACATCTTCCTTTGTCCCCAGAAAAATGAATACAATACATTTCCTAGGTTATATTCAGAATAAAAAATTGAATGTATAATAATTAAACATGACACTGTATGAAGGATAATGCTTGCATTTAGCATAAATCAAATAAACTATATTTGCTACAGCTAATACCTATCACAATTGTTGCTCAATATTGGCATACTACATCCTCAAGCAATTGGTTTTAGAAGGTTGAATGTGCAAAAGCTGCTTTGGCTTACAAAGTACTGATGGTCCTTGACTTACCATAGTTGAGCCCAAAATTTGTTTTTAAGGAAGACAATTAAGTGAGTTTTGCTCTATTTTATGATGTTCCTTAAAACAGTTGAGTAAATAGTTGCAGTTGTTAAGTTAGTAACACAGATGAATCTGGCTTCCCATTGACTTTCTTAGAAGATCACAAAAAGGGATCACATGACCCCAGGACACAGCAACTCTCTGTTCTGATGTAGGCTTCCTAAGAGCATGAAGCAAACTCCTTGTCCCGAGAAAAAACCCTTTTATTAATTTCCTGTAAATTCTATTCGTTCACATCCAGCAAAGTGTCAAGGGAGGATTTATAGTGCACAGTCCTTATCTGGCTTGGAGAGCTGACAGGCTGATATCTGCAAGGACTTGGCAAGGAGTCTCAGAGAGTCACAAACCAATTAAACGAACTAATTGTCTCCTGCAAACTCCACTCCCCTTTTGCTCCTCTTTTATTTCCTCTGGGAGGGCCATTCATCGTCCACCTGTGAGCTTACTCCCAAATCGACCTCTGTCCTTTAGGTGTTCCCTTCATCTGGCAACACTGTGCATGCGCACACTGGGAGCAGACTCCAGCTGTTCATCTGCCTCACTGATATCTGACTCTGAAGGCAGCTGATAACTGGCATACGGCTCTGGCCCCCTCTCTGCCTCCATACAGAGCCCTCTTCAGAGCCTTCCCCAGACTCCAGGACTGGCCCAAGTTCCTCCCCAACCTCCTCACTGTCTGAATCTGCTGCCAGCTCCACTGGCCACTGGGAGGCCATAACACTGTCATAAATATGAGTCAGTTGTCAAGTGTCCATACTTTTGATCTTGTGACTGGGGGGTATGCTGCAACGGTCGTAAGTGTGAAAAATGGTCATGTCATTTTTTTCCAGTGTCATTGTAACTTCAAATAGTCACTAAATGAAAGGTTGTAAATAGAAGAATGCCTGTATTAGCGTGATGATTTTTCAGGGAACTGGGCACAGTGTCTACAAATTATTATTATTATTATTTTGCTTTTTTTTTTTTTTTTTGAAGATCGTGTGTTCCACTCTAACAACAGCACAAAGGAAGTCTACCAAGGTGTGGCTGCTCCTATTATCAAGTCGGCGGTTCAAGGATATAATGGTACTTTAAATAATAATCCTTGGGCATATTTGTGCAGGTGGCTATTAATTTGAACTAATCATCCTGCTTATTTCTAGGGACTATTTTTGCTTATGGTCAGACCGCTTCAGGCAAAACGTACACAATATTGGGTACCAAAGATGGTCCAGGTATCTTAGCCATGGCAATTAATGATGTCTTCAATACGATCTGCAGAGTAAGTGATTCTACTGAGTGTTTATATTTCAGCTACCCAAGGCTTTTGCAGAAATGGAGATGACTGGTATTGAAACTGCAGCTGAGTTCTTAGCTTCTCGCGCCAGCATTTTTCAGGCTGTATGTCATGATTCCCATTCCAGAGACTACAAGAAAATGAATGGAGGGTTATCAGAGAGACCCCACTCCCTCTGGTTTTCCATCTCCATGCAAAAATATGCTGAGTTCAAAGCAGCTTTCCAGAGCCCATTGTAGAAGATGTGAATGTTCTTTCGATTTAACACTATCTTTTAAAGGCGTAATCTGGGAGGCTTCTGTGTAAAGGTCTGGCTATCTGACCCAATCCGCAGTGTGCATAGAGGATTACTGGGGAAGAGAAGAGTGGCTGCAGTATATCAAGGGGGCTGCCAGGGCCAAAAGCAAACTACAATATGCTCAGAACACTTATTGGGATGTGTGCTCATCTGCTCACAAAAAGTGAGCATAATAGCAATAGCAGACTTACCATATTTGTCGGAGTATAAGATGCAGCGGAGTATAAGACGCACCATGATTTTGAAGAGGTAATTTTTTAAAAAAAGTTTTGCACTCTGCAGGTTTTGTTTTTTTTGGGGGGGGGGGGATGCAGAGTTTTGGGAGGCTGGGGGCAGCCCATTTTTCACAAAAGGGGGGGGGGCATGCAGAGGCTTTGGAAGGCTTGTAGAGTGCTCCAGGGGGCAAAAACGGCCCTCTGCACATCCATTTTTGCAAAGGGAGCAGGGTTTTGGTAGGCGAAAAATGCGGTATTCAATATATAAGATGCACCCAGATTTTCACCCTCTTTTTGGGGGGGAAAAGGTGTGTCTTATAAACTTTAAACTTTAATAGAATTTGTATGCCGCCCACTCCCTAGGGACTCTGGGCGGCTCACAACAAGTAAAAAGCATTTAAAACATTTAAAATTACAGAATTAAAATCAACACAACATCCATTCCATCAAATGGGGCTGGAAATTAGTCAACAGCCCCAGGCCTGCCGGAACAGCCAGGTCTTGGTCGCTTTACGGAAGGCCGGGAGAGTGGTGAGGGTCCGGATCTCAGCAGGTAGCTCGTTCCACACAAGGCCGGTGCAGCTACAGAGAAGGCCCTCCCA